AGTATTTATGAGGGTGTCCAGCTGCTGGACACCTTTCATGACCAGAAGGATGGCAGTATAAAAGAAAGGTTGTTGTTGATTTAGATTCAGCTACTGGGAACAAAAGGTTGCAAGTAGCACGGGCTATGGTGAGCCCGTAGTGGACTTACCTGGCACTGGAGCGGGGATGTAACTGTGGAAGGGAGAGAGGAATGTGCAGGCAAATATTTAAGATCTGTGCAGGCAAAAATTTATAAGGTAAGAGAGTAAGGTGGCAGATGAGGAGTAGGTAAGATAAAAAAGTAAGAGTAAGATAAAAGGTAGTATATTAGGATGAAAGATAGGAATGGGATGAAGGTAAGAGAAAGTATGAGAACTAAGAGTAGAGAAGAGAATGAGAACGGGAAAAGGTAAGAATAAGAGGAAGGTAAGAGGAAATGTAAGAAAAAGAAAACGGGTAACAAAATGAAGTAGGCTTAATTCAGATCACGTCTGTTAAGAAGGTTGGAGCATTTAAGTATGTACACACATGATCTTTACTTAAGCCTACTCTCCACTTGCTTACCATCTTTTCTTTTCCTTACATTTCCTCTTAGTTTCCTCTTATTCTTACCTCATGCCATTCTTACCTTCGTCCCGTAAACATTGTCTTCCCTTCAGCCACGTTATCATGACCCATCGTCTGGAATATGGTGTTGTACACTGTGGTGTCCCTCAGGTGTTCGGGGAGTGGGTGCTGGGGGCCGCGGCCTGCAAGATCATCATCTACTCCGAGATAGTGACGCTCTCCTCGACCACCTTCCTGCTGATGGTGATGTCTTGGGACCGCTACCAGGCCATCTGCCGTCCCCTCGACTTCGCCTCCTCCGCTCGGAGAGCTCGGAGGCTCATCGGCTGCTCCTGGCTGGCCGCCTTCGTTATGGCCGTCCCTCATCTCTTTATCTTTGTCCAGGTGGGTCCCCGTCACACTTCTCGCTCGGCCGGTGGAGTCTCGCTCGGCCGGGGGAGTCTCGCTCGGCCGGGTGGGTCTCGCTCGGCATGGTGGGTCTCGCTCGGCATGGTGGGTCTCGCTCGGCCGGGTGGGTCTCGCTTGGTCTGGTGGGTCTCGCTCGGCATGGTGGGTCTCGCTCGGCCGGGTAGGTCTCGCTTGGTCTGGTGGGTCTCGCTCGGCATGGTGGGTCTCGCTCGGCCGGGTGGGTCTCGCTTGGTCTGGTGGGTCTCGCTCGGACGGGGGAGTCTCGCTCGGCCGGGTGGGTCTCGCTTGGTCTGGTGGGTCTCGCTCGGCATGGTGGGTCTCGCTCGGCCGGGTGGGTCTCGCTTGGTCTGGTGGGTCTCGCTCGGCCGGGTGGGTCTCGCTTGGTCTGGTGGGTCTCGCTCGGCATGGTGGGTCTCGCTCGGCCGGGTGGGTCTCGCTTGGTCTGGTGGGTCTCGCTTGGCATGGTGGGTCTCGCTCGGCCGGGTGGGTCTCGCTCGGCATGGTGGGTCTCGCTCGGCCGGGTGGGTCTCGCTTGGTCTGGTGGGTCTCGCTCGGCCGGGTGGGTCTCGCTCGGCCAGCTGTCACCCATTATATATATACCGGCTTCCTTCACCCGCTCAAAAGATTTGAGAAATTATATTACAATTTTCCCAGAGTCAGAGGCCAGGCGCTGCTTCTTCACAATATTTTACAATATCTTACGATGACAATGAAGACACTTTAGTGGTGACGGCGCATACAATTCCTTTTGTGTGTTGCGCCTTCTTTTGGATAATTAATTATAATAGGTAATGTAAGCTGTGTATTTAATTTATGGAAGTACTAGTTTGGGCCTCCGGCGCTGCTCAGGCGCCCTAGACCAGTCGACCAGTTCACACCAGACTCGACCAGATATGACATTTTGAGAAATCTCTCAAAATATCGCTCGTAGCAAACAAGTGCTGCGGGCTGCATCCTTCGTGCGCGCGCGCGCGCGTGTGTATGTGTACTCACCTATTCACCTATTTGTACTCACCTATTTGTGCTATCTTGAGGTTATCTTGAGATGATTTCGGGGCTTTAGTGTCCCCGCGGCCCGGTCCTCGACCAGGCCTCCACCCCCAGGAAGCAGCCCGTGACAGCTGACTTACACCCAGGTACCTATTTACTGCTACTGCTTTCATGCTTGTGGGGGTTGAGCCCTGGCTCTTTGGTCCCGCCTCTCAACTGTCAATCAACTGGTGTACAGGTTCCTGAGCCTACTGGGCTCTATCATATCTACATTTGAAACTGTGTATGGAGTCAGCCTCCACCACATCACTGCCTAATGCATTCCATTTGTTAACTACTCTGACACTGAAAAAGTTCTTTCTAACGTCCCTGTGGCTCATGTGGGTACTCAGTTTCCACCTTTGTCCCCTTGTTCGCGTACCACCAGTGTTGAATAGTTTATCCTTGTTTACCCGGTCGATTCCCCTGAGGATTTTGTAGGTTGTGATCATGTCTCCCCTTACTCTTCTGTCTTCCAGTGTCGTAAGGTGCATTTCCCGTAGCCTTTCCTGGTAACTCATGCCTCTTAGTTCTGGGACTAGTCTAGTGGCATACCTTTGAACTTTTTCCAGCTTCGTCTTGTGCTTGACAAGGTACGGGCTCCATGCTGGGGCCGCATACTCCAGGATTGGTCTTACATATGTGGTGTACAAGATTCTGAATGATTCCTTACACAGGTTCCTGAACGCTGTTCTGATGTTAGCCAGCCTCGCATATGCCGCAGACGTTATTCTTTTTATGTGGGCTTCAGGAGACAGGTTTGGTGTGATATCAACTCCTAGATCTTTCTCTCTGTCCGTTTCATTAAGTACTTCATCTCCTATTCTGTATCCTGTGTCTGGCCTCCTGTTTTCACCGCCTGGTTTCATTACTTTGCATTTACTCGGGTTGAACTTTAACAGTCATTTGTTGGACCATTCACTCAGTCTGTCTAAGTCATCTTGTAGCCTCCTACTATCATCTTCTGTTTCAATCCTCCTCATAATTTTTGCATCATCAGCAAACATTGTGACAAACGAGTCTCTACCCTCTGGGAGATCATTAACATATATCAGAAACAGTATAGGTCCAAGGACTGACCCCTGCGGGACTCCACTCGTAACGTCTTGCCAATCTGAGACCTCACCCCTCACACTGATTCGTTGTCTCCTGTTGCTTAGGTACTCCTTTATCCAATGGAGTACCTTCCCTTTCACTCCAGCCTGCATCTCCAGCTTTTCACTAGCCTCTTGTGTGGCACTGTATCAAAGGCTTTCTGACAATCCAAAAATATGCAGTCTGCCCACCCTTCTCTTTCATGCCTGATTTTTGTTGCCTGGTCGTAGAATTCAAGTAACCCTCTGAGGCAGGACCTGCCATCCCTGAACCCATGTTGATGCTGTGTTACAAAGTTCTTTCGCTCCAGATGTTCCACTAGCTTTCTTCGCACAATCTTCTCCATCAGCTTGCATGGTATGCAGGTTAGGGACACTGGCCTGTAGTTCAGTGCCTCCTGTCTATCCCCTTTCTTGTATATCGGGACTACGTTAGCTGCTTTCCAAACTTCTGGCAGTTCCCCTGTTGCCAGTGATTTTTTATACACTATGGAGAGTGGCAGGCACAGTTCTTCTGCTCCTTCCTTTAGTATCCAAGGGGAGATTCCATCTGGGCCTATAGCCTTTGTCACATCCAACTCTAGTAAACTCTTCCTTACTTCCCCACTGGTAATCTCGAACTCTTCCAGTGGTTCCTGGTTAACTATTCCCTCTCTTATCTCTGGAATTTCTTCTTGCTCTAAGGTGAAGATCTCCTGGAATTTCTTATTCAGTTCCTCACACACTTCCTCGTCGTTTGAAGTGAATCCTTCTGCCCCTATCCTTAATTTCATAACCTGTTCCTTTACTGTTGTTTTTCTCCTGATGTGGCTGTGCAGCAATTTAGGTTGAGTCTTTGCCTTGCTTGCCATGTCATTTTCGTATTGCCCTTCTGCCTCTCTTCTCATCCTGACATATTCATTCCTGGCACTCTGGTATCTTTCTCTGCTCTCAAGTGTCCTGTTATTCCTATAGTTTCTCCATGCCCTTTTACTTTGCAGCTTAGCTAGCCTACATCTCTGATTAAACCATGGGTTTCTCATCTTCATTTCACTGTTTTCCTTTTGGACTGGGACAAACTTGTTTGCTGCGTCCTTGCACTTCTGCGTGATGTAGTCCATCATGTCTTGGGCCGTCTTTCCTTTTGTTTTCCGAAAAAGGGATACCGAAAACCTTTTGTTTTCGGTATCCCTCCTAGAGTTCAATAACCCTTCTTCAATCAGGTACTCAAACAGGTACGCGTGTGTGTGAACTCACCTAATTGTGTTTGCGGGGGTTGAGCTCCGGCTCTTTGGTCCCGCCTGTCAATCAACTGGTGTACAGATTCCTGAGCCTATTGGGCTCTATCATATTTATATTTGAAACTGTGTATGGAGTCAGCCTCCACCACAACACTACTTAATGCATTCCATTTGTTAACTACCCTGACACTAAAAAAAATCTTTCTAACGTCTCTGTGGCTCATCTGGGTACTAAGTTTCCATCTGTGTCCCCTTGTTCGTGTTCCACCCACGCTAAAGAGTTTGTCTTTGTCCACCCTGTCAAGTACCCTGAGAATTTTGTAGGTGGTTATCATGTCTCCCCTTACTCTTCTGTTTTCCATGGGTAGTGAGGTTCAGCTCCCTTAGCCTGCTCCTCGTAACTCATTCCTCTCAGTTCCGGAACCAGTCTGGTGGCATACCTCTGAATCTTCTCTAACTTCGTCTTGTGTTTAACTAGGTATGGACTCTACGTGTGTGTGCGTGCGCGCGTGTGTGTGTATGTGTGTGTGTGTGCGTGCGCGCGTGTGTGTGTATGTGCGTGTGAGTGTGCGTGCGTGTACCCCCAGCAGGTGAGGACTGACGAGGGTGTGGCCGCAGGTGCAGGAGGGCTACCACCCTGACGGGGCTCCGGTGTACGCCTGCAGGAGCCGGGGCTACACGCAGGAGTGGCAGAGGAAGGCCATGTTCACCTGGCTCACCTTCTACATCCTCCTCCTGCCCTCCCTCGTCATCACCTTCTGCTACGCCTCCATCGTCCGCGTCGTCTTCCGGCAGAGCAGCGAGCAGCGTCTGCAGGTGGCAGGTGAGTGCTCGAACAAGTGTCTTCGTACAGGTGACAGGTGAGTGCTCGAACAGTTGTGTTCGTGCAGGTGTGGCTGGTATTCGTACAGTTGAGGCCTGTGGCTGATGTTTGGATAGGTGTGGCTGGCGTTTGGACAGGTGTGGCTGGTGTTTGGATAGGTGTGGCTGGCGTTTGGACAGGTGTGGCTGGTGTTTGGACAGGTGTGGCTGGTGTTTGGACAGGTGTGGCTGGTGTTTGGACAGGTGTGGCTGGTGTTTCAGAAGTGGTGGGTATTCAAGAGAGAGACAAAGAAGGCGTAAGGTTTGCAGAAAGACGCAGGATACAGGTGTCGCTGGAGGATCGGTGACAGGTGTGTGTTGTGACTGTGGGAACAAGTGTATCTCTGACTTCCCTCCCTCTCTCCTCCTCCACTCTCTACGTTAACATTAACGAATTAAACTGAACTCTTGTCCTTAATACATGAGGTTACACACTCAACGCGCTAACTCTACGGACAACACAATCCGTATTTCACTAACACAAAACCTAACCCGTCAAGCGTCTCTTAACAAAGTTCATTTTACATGGTTAAACGCCTGATTTATGACAACTTTGCAGTTGTCATAAAATATAATATACAAAATTAGTCATGCATCAAACGGAACGTGGACGTTAGATGTATAACCAATACGATATATTAGTATCAGGCCAATAAAAACGCCTTATATATATATATATATATATATATATATATATATATATATATATATATATATATATATATATATATATATATATATATATATATATATATATATATATATATATATCGCTCTAGCACACCTCATTCAGACTGGATGGTTAACTACTCTTTTTCAGATACATAATATTATGGCCGATTACTGGCGAGTGCGAGAGACAGTCAGAGTGAATCTTGCACATCTCGAGTGAATCTTGAACAACCAAACTAAACCTTAGACCTCTTCGTGGAACTGTGAACATTAAGAGTAAATCTTCATTATGCAGTTGGGAATCTTGAACATCCTGAGTCTTGAACATCCAGAGTAAATCTTGAACAACCAGAGTGAATCTTGAACATCCAGAGTAAATCTTGAACAACCAGAGTGAATCTTGAACAACCAGAGTGAATCTTGAACAACCAGAGTGAATCTTGAACAACCAGAGTGAATCTTGAACAACCAGAGTGAATCTTGAACAACCAGAGTGAATCTTGAACAACCAGAGTAAATCTTGAACAATCAGAGAGAATCTTGAACATCCAGAGTGAACCTAGAATATCTAGAATAATCGTTGAACACTGGTGTATCTTATAAAAGAGTTGATTATGTGTGTTGGCGAACTATCTTAGCTTAACGAAGTTAAGTAATATGACTATCTCAACGAGTCTTATGTAGCGGTGTACAGGTGTGAGAGCACACCTGGTGATGGAGCCCACACCTGCCTCACCGTCACGGGAACATGTATATAGAGAAGGTCACCCGCCTCACAACACACGTGACTCTGGCTGCCATCATGAGAGAGACGAGAAGTAGCCAGGGGCCAGATTCACGAAACAGTTATGCGAGTACTTACGAACGTGTACATCTTTCCTCAGTCTTGGACGGCTTTGGTTACAATATTAAACAGTTTACAAGCATGAAAACTTCCCAATCAACTAGTGATTGGAAAGGCTGTTATAAACAGCCTCCTGGTGCTTCGGGGCTCATTGACTGTATAATAATTGCAAACAAAGCCGCCAAAGATTGACAAAAAAATGTACAGGTTCGTAAGTGCTTGCGTAACTGCTTGGTGACTATGGCCCCAGGTCACAGAGCAGCCCGTCCTCCAGAGTGGGACCCGACGCGACTACACTCTTCTATTAAAGTGCCCGAACCCAACCCACTTGAGGACCAGCGAACAGAAAACGGAACATCACGTCACTTCCGCTAGCCGCTGCCATTTTCAGAACATCAGCTTTTGGCCTTGAGGGGAAATTATACGTCAAAATACGGTGTGCTATTCAAGAGAACGGGTTGCACAGACAGACAAACCTCACGGCTTAAAAGGTCGGGCACTTAAGAGTTCCTTCAATAATGAAGTGCTTCGCCTCGTCTAAGGTCTTTCAAGTGTAAACCCTTGTAAACCCAAACATTAACCTCCTGATATATGACACTGAGTAGTTTACAATCACCGCCACGTCACTGAGGTATAACATTCTCCCCGTAATCCACATGAAAATTAATAAATTAAATTTATCTCATCCTCTATATATTATATCCATAATACATCAAATTAATGATTAAATATCATGTTAAGAGCTTTTATCTCTTACGTATCCTGCCTGCGTATAGTGACATGCACATGTTCAGGGATAACAGCACGGTAGATCTCTAGCGAAGCAACATGCACTCACTAACACAATTTATATATACAAACTAAGCTAAGTCCGGCCCAGCTGGGGGGGGGGTTAGTGGAGCCGGATGTCGAGGCATCAAAGGTACTCGAGTTTGCATCTAGATAGGTCTTGTGAAGCCTGCAGGTCATGTGAGTGTGTGGTGGGGGCGTGACATCACAGTTTACACGATCAGTGATCGATTATATTGGGTCTTGCAACGATATCCTTTTCATAGTCAATACTACACAAGCAACACAATACAATTACGAAAACACAAGTTCACACAATACAGTGATGGCAACACAATACAGCCCAGACAAGTCAATACAATCAAGACAATACAAACAATACAATAAAATCAAAACAAACCTTCACAACATCCTCTCTCTCTCTCTCTCTCTCTCTCTCTCTCTCTCTCTCTCTCTCTCTCTCTCTCTCTCTCTCTCTCTCTCTCTCTCTCTCTCTCTCTCTCTCTCTCTCTCTCTCTCTCTCTCTCTCTCTCTCTCTCTCTCTCTCTCTCTCTCTCTCTCTCTCTCTCTCTCTCTCTCTCCAAGGATCAAACAGCATCATATGATTTAGAGTTTAAAAAGTTTAAGGGCCGAGGCAGGAGGCTTTTATGAACATAATGCCTCCATGGGCGAGGCTGCAGGCATAACGGTTTATTTCCTAAACGCATCATGTGGTTCAGAGTTCCCTTTGCTACTGATCCCAGGATTTATAGTAAACCAAAGTAAACTCGTTATCTACATGAAAAGGGATGGTTGGATGTCACAGACTCTCCTCTCGTGGTTGAAACAAGATTTCCTGCTGATGTTCATGCTCTTTTAGTCCTTGTATAAAATGCAAAATTTTGAAATAGGTATATTTTTTTACACATTTCAGTACAAAATACAGCACATAGTTGCGTCAAATGGGTCAGTAACTTCGATGGAGCCATGGTCTGTCTTTTATGAGGCTCGCAAAGTGTCTCTCTATTTCTACTCTCACTCTGACACTCACATCCTTGTTTCTCTGGTTATCTGGTTCTTATCTCTGCTCTGTTGTTGGTGTAGTTTCCTCGTGCCCTTGGGCTTATGTGGCACCCTTCATTACACCGCTTGGCTACACCAATAGGGAATCCAGTGCTCTGCCTCCTCCTCTCTCAGATCAGTGACACACTTACGGGTAACTTCCCAACGTTTCTGATATGAGGAAATGTTTGTCTAATCTTCCCTCTGATATGTGTCCCTTGGTATGCTGTCCCATGGTATACTATATCAAAGTATACTGTCCTATGGTATACTGTCCCATGGTATACTGTCTCAAAGTATACTGTCCCATGGTATACTGTCTCAAAGTATACTGTCTCAAAGTATACTGTCCCATGGTATACTGATCCATGGTATACTGTCCCATGGTATACTGATCCATGGTATACTGTCCCATGGTATACTGTCCCATGGTATACTGTATCAACAACCTGTCCTCTTAAAAATATCGTCGCTTGTGGCCGTTTACCAGTATGGCCGAAAGTGGACGTAATTTGAAAATGAAAAAATGTAAATAAATTTGGGATTTTTTTCAACAACAGTAAGTTAAGGGTCCTCTGGTAGGTTAGGTGGGCAGGAAATTCTCATAAAGTTTCAAAACGTTATGAAAAACGTGAATTGAAAGTTTCCTCTCCTAACCTGTCCGAGTAAGCCGGACGACTCAAACAGAAAACGGGACAGTACGTTACTTTTGTGAGCCGATTTCATTTCAAATTACGTCCACTTTTGGCCATAGCGCGCATACGAGCCAAAAGTGACGTTATTTTTAAAAGGACGGGTTGATACTGTCCCATGGTATACTGTCTCAAGGTATACTGTCCCTTGGTATACTGTCTCAAGGTATACTGTCCCAAGGTATACTGTCTCAAGGTATACTGTCCCATGGTATAATGTCCCAAGGTATACTGTCTCAAGGTATACTGTCTCAAGGTATACTGTCTCAAGGTATACTGTCCCATGGTATACTGTCTCAAGGTATACTGTCCCATGGTATACTGTCTCAAGGTATACTGTCCCATGGTATAATGTCTCAAGGTATACTGTCCCGTGGTATAATGTCCCAAGGTATACTGTCTCAAGGTATACTGTCCCATGATATACTGTCTCAAGGTATACTGTCCCATGGTGTACTGTCTCAAGGTATACTGTCCCGTGGTATACTGTCTCAAGTTATACTGTCCCATGGTGTACTGTCTCAAGGTTTACTGCCCCATGGTATACTGTCTCAAGGTATACTGTCCCATGGTATACTGTCTCAAGGTATACTGCCCCATGGTAT